CTGCTTGGGCAGCTTGCTGACCCATATTTGTCTTTCTGGGGTAAACTTGCAATAAAAGTTAAGTAGTAAATGCCAACTATAAGCAGACTACTACTATCTGGCCTACCATAGTGCACAACTATGGTCCGAAACACCTGAACAGAGCTTTAAAATGCAGAACATTCACTTGAGCACATGGCGTCTGGAAATATGCCCAGTTGTAACACTCTTCTCCATTATTTAAGGCTTCTGAATTATCTACGGTTAAAGTTTTTTGTGGAAAAAAGACAAAAAATGCAAGCGGTCGCAAATGGAGTGGCGTTTTCCTGAGATCCTGAAGGGACTGCATGTAGCACCTGTTCGGGTGGTTAGTGAATACGGTTTGTGTTGAAATACCACATGCTAAAGTAGCGCAATGGCTAACGTCAAGACTGTGCTTCATCTTGTGTACTTTCTGTAAGACTTGCTTCTTAAGTCTCTCATTGCTGCGTGGACAACAAACACTTGGGTCCCGCCAGTCGGTCTACATCGCCTTTGCCCTCTATGAGCAATGTGTCAACATCCACTGAACAGACAGAAGACAGCTGAACACCCAACTGAAAGCACTTCGACTCCCAAACTTTTTTTTTGGACTCTCATTCTGACGGCACCCATTCACTGCAGAGGATCCATTGGGGAGCAAGTGATGGAATGCTACATTTCTCCAAATCTGATGAAGAAACCAACACATCAACATCTTGGATGGCCTGAAGGGGAGTACATTTAAATTTTTTGGTGAACTATTCCTTTAAGGCCAAGCATACACTACAAGACCTGTGCACAATAAAACACCCAGTGACTTGTCTTCTGTCAAGCCGGTGCACGCACTACACACAACTAATCTCACACTGCTGATTAGTATCTGGGACTAAAAACATGAAGGGGAAACAAGCTTGTTTCTTGAAGCGTGAATTTGGTTGAAATTCATCAATGCATCAAACCAATCTTGGAAAAACCATCTTACCCATCTCTCTGGAGATCTGCACGAATGCTTCCACGCCGCTTTCCCCATAGTTCCCTTCAGAAGCCAGCGTGGAGACATAGTTCCAGCCCATTGCCGTGACAATATCCAGCATGGCCTGGGCCTGGTAGGAATCCGGGGGAACGACGCGGGAAAAAAAGTCGTAGCGGGTGTTATCGCTCAGCTCCGGAGCGGTGGATGCATAGCTGATCTGAGGAATCTGCAGAGAACAGAAGAAAGATCAGAGGTCAGAGTTCAGGGACAGGGTTCTCTTGCTTCACAACGGAAGAAAGAGGCATGTGTTTCCAGATCCAGTGACCAGTGATGATATGCTGCCTTCTAATATAGCTAATTTTGGCTAAATTACATGCAGTATCGCATTTCTCCTTTATACAAAAGCCAATCCTAGAATGCATTGCAACAATGCATCGCACTAAAATCCAACATGGCAGTGATAATTATAAAACACTTATTTAATTTGATCTTGAAAGGTTTTGATGACAAATAGTTGCAGTTTATTATTATTATTATTATTATTAATCAGGTCTGCCGCGATAGCTGATCTGAGGAATCTGCAGAGAACAGAAGAAAGATCAGAGGTCAGAGTTCAGGGACAGGGTTCTCTTGCTTCACAACGGAAGAAAGAGGCATGTGTTTCCAGATCCAGTGACCAGTGATGATATGCTGCCTTCTAATATAGCTAATTTTGGCTAAATTACATGCAGTATCGCATTTCTCCTTTATACAAAAGCCAATCCTAGAATGCATTGCAACAAGCGCACTAAAATCCAACATGGCAGTGATAATTATAAAACACTTATTTAATTTGATCTTGAAAGGTTTTGATGACAAATAGTTGCAGTTTATTATTATTATTATTATTATTAATCAGGTCTGCCGCTGAGAATCATAGGTAATAGAGTCTGTGGGAAGTTTGACTGACAGATTCCTTGTCTAGAGAAAGAGGACAGGAGGAGGTTAAAGAAGCTCACGGCTGAATTATTCTGAAGGATTCTGTTACAAAACTGTTTTGAGATGCAGCTCACGTCAAGCTACACAAACGGTGTTAAATCCGAACATCCCTGATGGCGCGACAATCACCTAGACTGTGCTTTCACCGCTTGAAGCTGTAAATAAGAAAACATTTAGCCACAAAGTGCTTGAGGAACATCACCGTATGAGTGCGGATAGCTGCGTCAAGTAGATTCATGAGTAATGATGCTGAACAAAACGGTGACATTGAAAAATACATCACATTTACTACATCTCCAACAGTGAGGAGTGAAAATTGAAATCTGACACTGTAAGACTGATAGGTAATTAAGCAATTTTGATAAATGTGACCCCTTCGAAAGCATGCAAAAGTCACAGCTTCAATGCTCGCAGCATCAACGCAAAAATGCTTGTTTTGCTAAAAAGATGCCAAGCAAACTTTTGCGAGGTTCACTCATTGAAAAAGGTTAACCATAATGCAGTGCAAACCTTCATTAAGTATACCAGTAGTGGCTCATGAATATTTCATGAAAAAAGGCAACACAAATAAGACAACACCCAAGAGGCCCAGATACATAAATACGGGAAAGACAGCTCTTCTTTTATTGCATAACACTTTAAAATGCACAAATATTGCTTTCTGGGAGAAAACACATATTGTGAATATAAAGTTATGCTCTCATATCAAAGCATCAAATTCTCGGTTTATTGCACAAATAACAATAGATCCTGAGCACTTTAATTGAAGAATGAATTTTAATTGAAATATCAACATTGGTGAAGTTACATAAAATTCAACCAAATGTGCCTCAGCTAATAAAATAAAAAAAATAAATAACAAAGCATCAAATTCTCGGTTTATTGCACAAATAACAATAGATCCTGAGCACTTTAATTGAAGAATGAATTTTAATTGAAATATCAACATTGGTGAAGTTACATAAAAATAAAATAATAAAATAAAATAAAATAAAATAAAATAAAATAAAATAAAATAAAATAAAATAAAATAAAATAAAATAAAATATTAAACCAGTAATGTATCATATAGGTCTACCACCATAGGTCAAGTTAAATTACAAAATAAAATGCAACCAAATGCTCCTCAGCTACTAAATAAAATAAAATAAATCAAAACAAAACCATTTAAAATACAATATTTTTTTAAAAGTCTGTTTTACCATGCAAGAGTCACTAGACCACTAATTCTTAAATAGGAAGTGTTTGCTTTTTACAGTCAATAAACTCTCAATCCTCAGTAATCCCGTTTTTCAACATCCCCTCAAGCTATCGCTGTATAATTTAACAAACACTTAATATATAAAAGAAAAAAAGTTTACCGGTAAACTGTAATAGTCTCCAATGAGTTTTAAAGCTCATTGAATGAGGACTTTAATATTGAGCAGTTGTAGTTTATGATACCGGCAGATAAAAACACTACTATAAAGAGCTCAGCATGAGATGTTCTGGACAAGCGCTTTAAAAGAATCTCGACACAACAGAGACCTCTGAATGATGCATGAAAATGCTGCTGCATGCTGTCGCACAAATGCATTTGCATTAATAGAACAGGCCATTGGAGACGTGCTAATGGAGGGACATAACAGACCCGAGGCCTTGGACGACAGGCTGGAAGATAAGAATGAAAAAATGGGATGTTTCTGACAGATCTGTGGGATTAAAAAACAGGATCTGATCACTAGATCCTTGAGCATTTAAGACCTAATAATCCTCAGAGAATCGCCAACCCGAGCCCACCTTAATGGATAAAAGATGTTGACAGCATTTGTGACGATGTCAATTACCATAGATTACAATGTCAACTCGTCCCTCAGTTAAAAGGTTAGAAAAGCAAAAACCCTGGTATAATGTTAATAGTCTCACGCTGATATATATTCTTATAATCTTGCGGCTAGACGTCACCCTGTCTACTTCCATTTTAAGTGCCTTACCGTAAAAGCAATATTTTTTTATGATAATTGACATCAGTGCTATAGTGCATAACTTATATTGAACCCTAAACATTCCTTTAAAAGATAAACAAAAAAGTAGTGTATATAAATAATGTAATAGATTTCCTATTATTTGTGAAATGAATCAATGCATCCACAAACAACTCTCCCAGAATGCTCTGCACTTTTGAAATAATTTGCATATTCTTTGCATTTTACATATTATATTCACAGGTATAATATCTGATCATACACATCCCACAAACACAAATATGTGTGTGTGTGCATTCATTTGAACAGCGTGCGTGCGTGCGTTATTATATTCACAGGTATAATATCTGATCATACACATCCCACAAACACAAATATGTGTGTGTGTGTGCATTCATTTGAACAGCGTGCGTGCGTGCGTGTGTGTGTGTTTGAGTCTCAGGATAATGGAGCTGCCTGGCTGAGTGGCTGATAGATGGTTCTCCAGAACTGCTAATTAACCCTTGCTCAGACCTTTATTGTCCGACATCCAGACAGCGTAAGGCAGACATGGACCTTAACAAAGGGTGCAAATGCAAGCGTGGCCTCATACACACTCACAAACACAACGAGCAGCCTCACGTAATTACAGCTGCATTGATTAATGCATCTTGTATGTTGAGATTACACTGATCTGAGAACACACACTGATCCCAAGCGAGTTTGTGTTGTATGAGTAGAGGAGACGTGCTATATTATGAATGTGTGTGTCCACCTATGCATGCAATAGCAGAAAAAAAACAGGGCAAAACCTCATTGCTACCGAATCTCAAACCTTAAAATGTGTATTTTAAATGCAGAAAAATATTTATTATTCTTACATACAGAAACCCTTCAAGAACAATCCCCAAGCACTGGTACCTAAAGATTTTCAATGCATAAAAAAAACGAAAGCAAAAAAAAGCAAATTCAATAAAAATAACATTCAGTAAAATAAAGTTCAATAAAAGATTAAGATGAGATTTAAGATTTACATGTCTTGACATAAAATTTAAGATTTTCTATGCACAAAAAACACAATGCAATGCAGTGCAATGCAATGAAATGCATTGAAAAAAAGATATTATGATTATTACATGTGCTGCCGCATAAAATGTAAGATTTTCTATGCAAAGCATCTCGCTCAAAAATGACCAAAGAGTTTGTATCTTTAAAGGAACACTCCACTATTTTTGAAAATAGGCTCATTTTCCAACTCCCCTAGAGTTAAACAGTTGAGTTTTACCGTTTTTGAATCCATTCAGCCGATCTCCGGGTCTGGCGGTAGCACTTTAAGCTGTATCTTAGCATAGATCAGTGAATCTGATTAGACCGTCAGCATTCGAATGAATTCGAAAACGGTAAAACTCAACTGTTTAACTCTAGGGGAGTTGGAAAATGAGCCTATTTTCAAAAATAGTGAAGTGTTCCTTTAAGTCTATCATATACAGGCTAGAGATGCATGCAGTAGTTCAGATGAAATGCATTATGGGTTTTCAGGACGATGCCGTATGAACTCATTCTCTGAGTTCAGTGTTCAAATTAAGGGTGATGGTAGATTGAAGGGTGAGAAAGTAGATGTCAAACTCGACGGGCATCACAGATGGCTGGAGGCATTTTATACACTCATCCTCAACCGAAAGACATTGCCGTACTATTAGCATCACTGTTCAGAACCAAAGAGGTGACTCGACTGAGCCTTTGAATAGTTCATTTGAGAGAATAGCAGATTTATACTTGGGTTTTGAACAGTTTACAGTCGTTTTTATAACAGTAGATGTTCGGCTAACTTTACTAGAGGCACTAAAAAACAATTTTTGGGTAGCAGAAGATAAACATCAACCGATAACAGGCCAAAATGATCCATAAAGAATCTCCAAAAATTACTGTATAATTTGCTCAGTGGTTCAAAAGAGTTTTTAAAAATAAAACAAAATAATATCAAATGAAATAAAATCAAATAAAAAAATTTAGATAAAAAAATGCATTTATTGTAAAATGTGCACAAATACAGCATATGTATATTTTTATTAAATTATATTCATTTAATTTAAATGTAATTCAAAATAGCAAATGATTCATTCAGTTTAATATAATATATAGGTTTATAATAAAATTGACCCAAAATGTCCTATTTTACAAGGATACGAATTTTTGGTTAACACAAGACAAACCTAAACCAAAGGCACTCTGAAATTATCATAAAGAAATCTTTAAAAAAAAATGTTTAATGTATAAATATAAACATAAAATAATACAATTATAT